AGCCCTCGTGTAGCTTTGCGCGAAATTCAAAACAAACAAACAATGAATCAGCATCAAACTTGATACAGTGATATAGGATGACATGAGGAAGGTCATGAAGGGGTTTGGGGTTAGATCCTTCATCTTCTATATAAATAAACATCAATGTGTGTGTGTATTTGTTCCTTATACGTTTCCACATATTTTTTTTTTATCAGTCAGCACCAAACTTGACACAGTGATACAGAATGACACGAGGAAGGTAATGAAGGGGTTGGACCCCCATTTAATTTCATATTGATAGAATTATTGAAAACAGTATGTATTTCTTTTCAATATTAGTACCTTTATATATTTTTATTGCACTTTTAATGTTTATTATGTTAAGAAAATAATTTTGTTTGTTTGTTTGTTTGCAATTAAGCACAAAGCTACACAATGAGCTATCTGTGCTCTGCCCACCACGGGTATCGAAACCCAGATTATAGCGTTGTAAGTCCGCAGGCATACCGCTGTGCTACTGGGTGGCTAAGAAAATAAATAGAAGCACAATTTCCTATCCTTTGTTACAAACAGGTTTTCATTTCATTCATCCAACGGACGGGTATTCCAGCTAGTTCAAAACAATAACAAATGGAATCTTTACTTATAAGTCGACTTAGGCAAAGTGAATTTTCTTTAAACACAAAATTGGTTAAAGGCCCGTATAGAGGAGCCATAAAGTGCATGACTAATTCAACTTACAAAATGTCCTTGCTTCTTTCATTGACATTTATTTCCAAAGATCTGACTTAGTCATCTTTGACTTTTGAACAATGTGTGGATAGCCGGGAAAATATGAAGATAAAATTCCGAAAAGGGGTGAGGAAATAGGCAGAGAAATAATTAGAGGAGAAAGAAACATCGTGAATTGATTGTAATATTTCTAATGTAACAGTTGAAACTTTGATTATCCAATTACATAAGAAGAATCGATACGAATGTCCAATCACTGGCGTTGATATATTTGGTTTAGCCAATTACATTACAGAACTATAACGAGCTTTCAACCACTGGCGCTGCTATTAGTCTTCAAATACATAAGTAGAGAATTGTTTTTGTTTTGTTTTTCATCTTTTATCATATAGGAAAAAAAACTAATGCGAATTAGTAAGTAATGTATCGTAGCACGAAGCAGAAACTAAACACGATTTTTTATATCAACATTGTAGGTTTTAATCATCATGAAACGAGAAATAAACATACAGTGCTAGCAGTTTTGTAAAAAACTACGAAAATATGTTACAGACTAACGTTCAAATGTTTCGGTCCTGAATTACGGTGTAATAAGTAAGTTAGAACCTCTCTGATAATAATGAGGAATAGATGTAAAGTTTACAACAGGTGAATAAACAAAATTAGGTTCCACTAGCAATCAGTTTAACAGGATTGTTTTTTATCATTTATTTACAGTCATAAATCTTGCTATTGATTAAGCACGTGAAATGTCGACTCTTGTTTCTTTCTCCTCGTGTGGTTCTTATCTGCCTTCACATATCCTGCTTTCTGAATCTTCTCTCGAAATCACGACTACTAGTTTTATTCTTTGGAATTTATCTGCCATATATCCTCCTATTGGTTCTACACGTGAAATCACGACTACTAGTTTTATTCTTTGGGATTTATCTGCCAATATATATCCTCCCGCATGGTTCTGCACGTGAAATCACGACTACTAGTTTTATTCTTTGGAATTTGTCTGTCATCATAAATCCTCCTACTGGTTCTACACGTGAAACCACGACTACTAGTTTTATTCTTTGTGATTTATTTGTCATCATATATTCTCCTATTGATTCTACACGTGAATTAGATTTTTTTGTGATTTATCCACTATCGTATATCCTGCTATCGGTTCTACACGTGAAATCACGACTACTAGTATTTATTCTTTGTGATTTATCTGCCATCACATACCCTCCTATTCATTCAACACGTGAATTAGATTTTTTTGTGACTTATCCGCCATCGTATATCCTGGTATTGGTTCTACACGTGAAATCACGAGTATTAACTTGTATTTTTTGTGATTTATCCGCTATCGTATATCCTGCTACTGGTTCTCACGTGAAATCACGACTATCTATTTTGATTATTTTGTGATTTATCTGCCATCATATATCCCACTATTGGTTCTACGCGTGAAATCACGACTATTAGTTTGATTTTGTTGTGATTTATCTGCCATCGTATATCCCTTTATTGATTCTACACGCGAAATAACGTCTTCCATTTCTTTGCCCTCATGTTTGATCTGTAATGATATAATGCAACTAAGATTTTGATTTTGAAGTGTTTCTTTTTGTTTTTGTCATAAAGAAGTCTTTAGGTTTAATTCAAACAACTTCAAGAACACTTTCAATCAAAAGGTTTAATTCAAACACCTTTTCAAACAACTTCAAGAACACTTTCAATGAAAAGGTTTAATTCAAACAACTTCAAGAACACTTTCAATCAAAAGGTTTAATTCAAACAACTTCAAGAACACTTTCAATCAAAAGGTTTAATTCAAACTTCAAGAACACTTTCAATCAAAAGGTTTAATTCTAACAATTTCAAGAATACTTTCAATCAAAAGGTTTAATTGAAACAACTTAAAGAACACTGTCAATCAAAAGGTCTAATTCAAACAACTTCAAGAACACTTTCAATGAAAAGGTTTAATTCAAACAACTTTTCAAACAACTTCAAGAACACTTTCAATCAAAAAGTTTAATTCTAACAATTTCAAGAATACTTTCAATCAAAAGGTTTAATTCAAACAATTTCAAGAATACTTTCAATCAAAAGGTCTAATTCAAACAACTTAAAGAACACTTTCAATCAAAAGGTCTAATTCAAACAGCTTCAAGAACACTTTCAATCAAAAGGTTTAATTCAAACAACTTCAAGAACACATTCACGTGAAAGTGGTCATTGCTGACTTACATGGTATTAATTTGATTTCATATATTTATCCAGGTTATCTTTAAAAGCGTAATTATTGAATTATTATATTATATTTAGGTGGGCTAGGAAAATCTTATTGGCGACCATCAAGTCGTTTCGTTTTAAGGCAATTTAACTTGATTTTATTTCAGTTGATGTTGTGCAAAGTATGTATAATGAGTCAGTTTCTTTTACTTTGGAATTGTCTAACTAAATTAATTAAGCTGGCTTCATTTATTCTTTACTGGACTCTCTTTCAAAGTTTTTAACACAGTCTTTATCTTTCCAGCTAATGTTAATGAAAATCCAGGCATCTGTGCCTATATCTTAACGGCCATATCGATAATACTGATTGTGGCAACATTGCCTTTCTCTCTCGTCTTCTGTATTAAGGTAAGACTAAATATATATAGTTGAAGTTCTATGTATTTATTTGTGTCTCTAGATCTAACTTTTTGTCTTCATCCAGTTATACCTTGCTAACTATATTATTATCGTGAATTTTATACCTCAAAATCTCTGTATATATCTATGTTACTCAGCCTTTCTATTTATTCATATCTCTATCTATCATTTTAGAGAACTCTGTAGTCTGCGTGAAAGTTAACAATGCTCAAATACAGTGAACTGTTTAGCTTGCGTGAAAGTTAACAATGTTGAACGTCAGCAATCTCTCGAATCTGCGTGAAAGTTAACAATGCGTAACTTTAGGGAACTGCATGAAAGTTAATAATGTTAGACGACAGAAATTTGTCCAGACTTCCTGAAAATTAGCAATGTCTAGATTGCGTGAAGGTTAGTAATCATAATCATCAGTAATCAGTATATACTGCGTGAAAGTTAACGACGTTGTGTGTTGTACTTCAGGGATTTGTCTAGCCTGCCTGAAAGTTAGCAATGTTGAATTTCTACGCCAGTTAGGTAAAAGTGTATTAGAAGGTATAAATGAGATTTTAATATCTAAGTTAAATCTATTACATTGGGTGTGAAGGCTTCGAATTACTGAAATATAGATCCCCAAAGGTGAAATATATATTTGTTCGTCTAAATAAAAGTTTAAACTCTTCATCTAGTTATATTACACCAACTATACAATTTCCCCGAATAGTCTGGAATAGTCACCTGTTTTAACAGTAGTGTGTTGTCTGTCATTCAGTCACTGGACACTAAAATGACGTCACATAAAGGCTACAACACAGTATGAAACATGAACCTCAAAAGCAAGAAATAAAAATATTTGGTACTCTTAATTTTAGTTTTATTTAATCTTCAAACAGAACGGTTTCGAGGATCCTACGGAAGTACATTTAGTTACATGTATTTATTTTTTACCTATCTCCATTTTTTCAGCATATTATTCTATATGCTTATATTTATTTTTCTATTTAGGTTCCAGTTTTTCTCTATTCTTTCTAATAGTAGTTTATGTTTCTATTATTTTGTTAATGATGTGTTTGGGAATTTGTGATACGTTTCTGAAAGAATGATGTTCATTTCTTAGGACGTTTTCCCGCGTAAACTCTAATTAATTCGTTCATTTTGTCTACGGCCACGTGGAAGAGTCGATGCCAGATCGATTGTTGTTTTTTTTCATCACAGCCAGTCTGTTTTATGATATTAAGCCTTTACTCTGAGCTGAGCTCTTCTTTCTACAAGGGGCTCTTTTTACAGAAGTTTTTTCAGTAAAATGACGCCTACACCATATTGACATAATACATAAACAAGCTTTCCCGTTATGAAACGTTACATTTAGTAAAATCTTTCGTGTTTCAGTTTAGATGCTACTTACCTCTTTGATTTTGTCTTTATTGTCTAGGTGGTTCAAGAATACGAAAGGGCTGTCATATTCCGACTGGGCAGACTTGTGCGGGGTGGTGCAAAAGGCCCAGGTAAGAGTAATAATATAAGCAATATCTTCTATTTCAGGAAAGTTTTTTTTTTCATGCGGTTATAATTAGAAGTGTATTTTTTTTTCCTTTTGATAATGTTGCTATGGAAAATGGAATATTCTTCATTAACCTTCTACCGCCCCTGCTACAACTGTCACGATGTAGACGCCTTTAGAAGCTGGCGAAGTTGTAACAAGTGATTTATATAAATAGTATTCTAACCACTACTGTGTTCGTCGTATCCCAACCGACCTGAAGAGCTCTGGATTGAGCGAAACGCGTCGTCGGCAATGGATATGGCGAACATAGTGTAGTTGAAATACAATTATTATACACTATTCTAATTCTTGAAAATCAGTAAAAAAACTAGATTAAGAATGCAGTGTTAAAAATACCATAAGCCTAACATAATTTCTACTGTCTCTATTTTCCGAAAATAGGAAAGGGTATTTCGTTAGAAATATTAATTTCAAATGAATCAGTTAAAATAATTAATTTCTAACACCAGATAAAATGAAATAAATTTTCAGAGTAACTGGTTTTAAGTGCATTCATATAAATTAATTACACAAAATGAGATACGTCTCCAAAAACCTGCAAAACAAAACCTCTACAAGAGGGTGCTTTGAACTCTTGTATTAAAACTTAAACAAGCTTTTAATTTACTATGAATAGTTTACACGTGAATTTTATTTTATAGAACTGAGTTAATGTATATTTCTGCAAAATCTAACTTTTTTAGTTTTGAGATTTATGGGTCTTTACTTTATTGTGATACTAGGTTTCTGTTCATTCTCTAAAAGATGTATATTTGTATCCACATTTTTGCTGACACATTTTCATTATCTGCCTTATCTGCAGCTGCGTTTTTCAAGTATTTATTTGTTCCTTCCTTATCTTCTCTGCCTCCCTTACATTGTTCATATATTCATTTATATCGTCTATTTATGCCTGCAACAATATTTTTGAAAATATTTGATGATTCTTATTGTGTTGTCCACGTAATTATTAATAATACTGTGATCCGTTCTTGTTTCAATGGTAAGTTTGAGGGCTTATAGTGCTAAAATTCAGGATTTGGTCCCTGTTGTGAGTACAGAACAGATGTACGGATTTCTGTTTCGCAGCAAACAAACATAATATTTTGTCCTTTGAAAACATACTGAGTTAATTTCTATGGGATTACTTAGATATATTAAACTGGCATGTAAAACTGTAAAACACTACCAAATTTTCAAAATGAGGCTAGTTTTTCTTTCAAGAGTCGAGCGAGTGGTTATCGTGCTAGGGGCTGTGAGTTCGAGGATTTTTGGTTCGTATCCGTATGGCGCAAAAAACGCGTTTCGTACTTTGTTACCATGGCCGATTGGTGCAACATCAGATTACCATCAAATAAGAAAAGCCCCCAAGAGATGGCGGCAGGTGCTGTTGACTAGCTGCCTTCTCTGTAGTTTATCTGTTCAAAATCAGGGACAGTTATGCCTGAAATTATAAAACTAGCAAACTCTTTTTCAAAGTTTTTATTTCGTCTGTATATCTTTCGGCTAATGTTAACGAAAATCCAGTTATTTAATCCATTTAACTTTACCTCTTTCCGCCCTTCAGAATGTTTATTTCTTTCATTCAACTTTACCTCTTTCCACCCTTCAAAATTATAATTTCTTTCATTCAAACTTCTAAATGTTTCGTTCTGTATGGTAATTTAGACATTAAAAAAATCATTAATTGAATAGAACATAAAATTTCGTCTCTCAGTTTAGGCTTAACCGTCCGTTCGCGTAATAAGACTTTGTTTTGTTTTGTTTTTTCTCCTCCAAAATCGCTTGTTCTTTCAAACCTATTACTTCGCCCAAAAACGCAGTGTACTATTTTCTCTTACAATTAACCACATCCTTTTTGCCAGTCTAGCCATCCCATAATGGCATTCCACTCATTCATCTTGTCGTGTTGTTCTAATTTATCCACCCCGCTATATAATTTCTCTCAGCTTAATCAAAGAAATACATTTAATCCATCTAACCTTATAGTTATATTCGTACGATTTTGTATTCCATGTCTGGTCGTTTCTTTTCTGCTCTCTTATAATTCTGTGTACCTTTACCATCTAATGTTCCATATACTACATATTACCGGTAGTTTACAACTGATCATTCAGGTGGTTTGTCAGTAAAATACACGTGTTTTTACTAAGATACCTTTCATCTGAATTCTGATTGTGAATGTTTGCAATTCCTTTTATTTTCTTTTTCAGTTTGTCTTAGTACTGTTATCACGTGACACTTGGAGCAGACAGCTTGCCTGAAACTGAAAGGCATGTTTTCCACAAAGGCTCACGTAGCTTAAAACACGAGCCAATCTATAATAGGGAACCACAAAGACAAACAAAAAAGGGGTGGAAATGAGTATTGTCTGCTTACTGAAAGAGTTGTTTGCTTAGCTTCTTAAGATATAATTTGTTATATGAACTGTTGGATACAGAAAACTGTTTAGTTTAAGAGTTATTATTTAGTTTATTTAGTGATTTATTATTTAATGCTTATTTAGTTTTCATAACAAGAATGTTAAAAGTTCATTATTTTAAAAGCAATAGTTATGATAAATTTCGTTACCTAACTCTGTACGAGTCGAACGTTGTGTATGCAGGTTATTTGTTGTACTAGGCTTTTGTAATATTGTTGACGTCATCTTACTCGAAGCTTCCAAGTTTTTCTAGTTATCTGTAATATTACTAGAGGCCTAGAAATTTCTAGATTATTCTGTCGCGTGTTATAGATATGCGCAAGATACATAGAAGTAAAATTAAGTTAGTGAAAGTGAAGTAGACTGCGTGATTGTTAGGTTAGTCCTAACGGGCAATATTTAAAGTGAGTTTCCCAGTGGTATTGTAACAACAGAGATAAAGAAGAAGAATTCTTTGACGAAAAGGAGACAATTATTTAATGCTCTGGATACAACTGCAATAACCAAAAGTGCAACGAATTTTTATACATACGTTTGACTTGTTTTTAATATATTATTTTATAACAAGTGGATTGTGTGCTGTCAGTTTATTGTCCGAATTTATCGCCAGCAAGTCACAGACACCTATTGTAAAGAATTCTGGCCAGACATGAACGCTAGGGTCTTTTGGCATTGTTGTTTGAAATATTTTATGTTGCTATAAGCACGTGTTTTCGGAAATCCACGCTGTTTATTTGATTGTTTGTTTGTAATTAATCGCAAAGCTACGCAATGGGTTATCTGTGCCCTGCCCATCACGAGTATCGTAACCCGGTTTCTAGCTTTGTAAGTCCGCAGACATACCGCGGTGCCCCTAGGGGGCTATTTGATTGTTATTTGGAATCCAATATTGGTGCTTCGATAAAACAGTTCATTGAGCAAGCTAGAATAAATAGTTAGAATCTCTGGAATATGAAACAAAAGATCATCGTTATCTTCAGAGTTCACCTATTATTTAACAATAATACTTTCTTCTATAATATTTGATCTACTTCACCGAGTCTATGCTAATAATAATTTTTTTCGTGTTTCGTTTAGTCTATTTCAGTTGGGTTTTTTGTGCTGTATATTTTATAACTATATTTTCAGGCCTAGTTAGGAATTAAAGGGTTCTAAAATTGATATTGGTTAATGTGTAAGGTATGCCACAGCTTTGGGTCGAGCGGTCCCTAGTGGTTAGTGTGTCAGGCATGCGGGTCAATCGTTCGAATCTTGTTACTGAGAATATATAAATAAAGAAACTCCAGCTCCTCACTTTGGATGTTTTATAAGAGTGACAGTGAAATTCCAATATTCGTTCAGACAAAAGTAGTTCACGAGAGGATAGTGGAAGCTGCTCCCTAACTGCTTTCCCTCCAGTCTGTCAGTTTAAAGTTATGGACGACTAGTGTAGACAGCTCTTGTATGCGTTTGTACGAATATCCGAAAATAGCACACCGTAAACTATCCACTCACAGCCAATCATTTCATCCCTCCTTCCTTCATACCCAACATTTTGATTTAAGATAACAACTACCCTATTAAACAGGTTGGGTCATGTTTAGCATAAAACAAGCGAGATCACTTTTGCCTCAAACATGAAATAGATTTTGGAATTTTTTATAAGTTTATATAGATGTATATTTCTATTGTAGTGTTCCAATTTTGAGGGCATTAACAACCATTTACAGCCGAGAACATGCCGTAAAATATCTGAGGGAGATTGAAAGATGATGAAGACAGATGACGTAAGAAAACATTCGTCTCAAATAGTTTGTACAACTAGTCACACAAGGTCGAAGTTATGCTGATACCCGCATCTTAACACCAAAGTGATATGATACCAATCTACTCAATCATTTAACAACTGGAGTGTTGCCATTAATTAATATAAAGATATTTAAAGGAAGTCAGAGAATCAGAATTCAAAGGCATTACAAGAAAAGAGCCTACATCTACCAGATATTTAATGATGAGCAAATATTTACAATATTAAAATCACAGTCTTTATACTTGTCTAAATATCTACCAGTAATTTATCATAAGGAAAAAATTACAATACCAAAACACACAATTTTTATACTGTCTCAATTACTTTTTCATTGTTACAGAGATATAAACATGGGGCCTAGTTAAAGACAAACTTCCGTCTTCATGAGTGATGTGGTGAAAAGTTTAAAAACATATAAGTCTACATAACTTAAAACTCTATAATCTAATATTGCAACTTGCTATCAATCATTGTTCTAGGATTATAAATCATTCTTCTTTTACCCCAGTCTTTGAACATTTTTGTCAGAACTTACTCAAAACTTGCACCAAATTTGTTCTTGTTTTGCGAGACAACTTGAAAGGTCCACTTTTATGTACAACTGAACTGGATGTAAAATAGGGATCGTTTAACTATTTCGGTGAAACGATTCTGAAAATTTAACTAACTGACTGATTTCTTTTAAATCATTAAGACCCATACACAATTAAATAAGCCCAAAGTATAAGTTCCTTCATCTGGGCTGAACTGAATGAAGGCTTTGTCTTATGAGAGCGCTTGGATTGTCAGTGTTTAATACTCTTAACTATTATTCACTATTCTATAGTATCTAATGAGGTAATATAAATACTTCTACAGGTACTGGTTTCAGATTGGAAGAAAACCTGTTTACGGGTTCCATATCGTCTTCAATACAAAATAAAAATGTTCTGACAAAATAAAGCATTCGGACATAAAGATTTGTTTTATAGATAAACAATCAAATGAAAACTTAACTGTTGAATAGAACCCGTAAGGATTAAATATATATCAAAAATCACACATTTAATAGAACCTGTGAGGATTAAAATGTATCAACAATCACATGTTTAAGAGAACCTGTGAGGATTAAAATGTATCAACAATCACATGTTTAAGAGAACCCGTGAGTATCAAAATATATCAACAATCACATGTTTAAGAGAACCCGTGAGGATTAAAATGTATCAACAATCACATGTTTAAGAGAACCCGTGAGTATCAAAATGTATCAACAATCACATGTGTAAGAGAACCCGTGAGTATCAAAATATATCAACAATCACATGTTTAAGAGAACCCGTGAGTATCAAAATATATCAACAATCACATGTTTAAGAGAACCCGTGAGTATCAAAATATATCAACAATCACATTCGTGATTTGATGAAGAAAACGTTTCACCAAGAGATCTTATTTTAGTCCTTTTCCAGCTGATTGATCTTGCATCTCTTGTAAAAAAAAACGTCGAACTATTTACATAAAATATCATCCAGTAACTTTTCATAGAGTTAACTTATACTCAATGTAACTCTTTCCATGTCGATCTTTTTGTTTGGAGTTCTTGAAAGGTCCAAAAAGAACAAAACTGATAAAATTTAGCAGCTCGCTTGTCAAAGAAAATACATATCTGCCATCAGATTATTTGGTACGACTATTTTGCTAAAACCTCTAATTTAAGATTACATTCAAGTCCAGTCTGTTAAATCACACAAGCTATTTTATTTTACCCAGTTTTTATTATTATATTTGCTAAATATCGCTAACCAAAAGAAAATTGATATTGTTATCAAGAAAATATCTAGCTAGAAATATGTGGTGGTGAGTGAGATGTAAAAAATGTTCCTCTTCATGTTTTGTCATAAGATCTAATAATTTCATCTTTTTTTTTCTTTTCAGTTTCGAATGTTATATTATATTTGTAATATCACATATAAAAGCTTGTACAAGGACATATTCGCCAAAAATATTCTTCAAAGACGAAGTAATTGAAAATATTGCTTAATTAATATACAAACTGTGCAGAAAAGCAGAAATGCCATGTTGACCAAATAATAAAAATTCCCTCAGTTACCTCAATCCTCAAATCCATTTCGTTTCTTTTAAGTTTCGTTGTTTTTCGATGATGTTCCAACGAGAACTTTTTGTTGTTGTTCGCTCTGCACCCTTCCTCCACGTATAGTGATCAAATTTAATAAACTCGAAGTAATACCAGCCGTCCGCTGCTTGCCTTATGCACACTCTGTTTTTCAGATCAACCGAATCGTAGTGACCAAAGCCCAAACGATTCTGTTTCAGGCATTTTCTTCATCATCCCGTGCATCGACACCTACTGCAAAGTGGACTTGAGGACAGTTTCGTTTGACGTTCCGCCTCAAGAGGTAGGGTTTTACTTGTTTTTTAATTTTCATCTCGTGATCTTTGCAAGTCCTTATGTCATATGTTTACAAAAACTTTGAATACTGTCATGCATACTATCATATCCTAATGTCATATGTTTACAAAAGTTTGTTTATTAACATGTATACTCTCGTACCTTCTGTGTGTTTTGTAGCAACTAATCGAATTGGTGAATATTTTTTAATTATTTATATATAAATCTTTTACAGTTTTTTCTTATAAATACCAGCCACAACTTTGGTAATTTATTAACAGTTTTTCGATGATTTTGTGGGCTGTTCCACAATTCTGACAGTTTAGTATATAAAATCATGTTTGTTTCTTTTTTCTGTGGCTACGACATATTCTCACTATGGCTCAGTAAGTGATTTAAGTCATAGTTGCGTTTATGAATGATTCAAATGTTTTAATATTTTATTTGTGATCATTTTTCTTAGAAACAAATAAATGGAATTCGAAGTTTTAACCCACAGGATGACGCATGGAACATGACTGTTTCATAAAAAAGCAACTTATAAACGTGGCCTTTTTTCCGATATCTAGCTTAATTCTTTACAAAACCTATTTAAGCTAGTACGTATCAATTCATAATAATGCTGAATTACAGCAAACGTAGCTATTAATGTACGAAAGCGCAAAATTTTACATTTAATGATTACGTTACTTTGAATTTACAATTTAACCACATTTATTTAAATGTTTTTTAGCATATTTTAACTCTGAACCTGTATCAAATTATGAGCATTTTTTCACTCTCTTCTGCACACATAAAATCGTCATAGTATTTTTCGGAAACTGTAGAAATCAAGAAAAATAAAATAAACGTAAGTGTGACCAAAATAAAAAGTCCAATAAGTTCATCAAAACGTGCAATAAAGTGTTTGATAAAGTGAAATCTCTTAGTACTACCTTAAATAATAAATTTCAAGTTACACCTCATCGCAAATGTAAGAAAAATATGAACTAAACTGAAGAAAAATAATTAGAATATATGGTAATAATTATGTTAATTATAATGCAAAGCCCCCAGTGTCATAGCGGTAAGTCTGCGGACTTACAACGCTAGAATCCGGGTTTCAATAGTCTTGGTGGGCAGAGCATAGATAGCCTATTGTGTAGCTCTGTGCTTAACTTCAAACTAGGCAACTGTATTCAGCATAGAAGTAGCAGAGTGCAATTGTTAAGATCCTATTGATTGTTGGGTCGGCCCCAATTCGTGCAGATGAATTTCTTATTGATGTTTCTGACGAGTTTTTTATAGGCCAGAATGCGGTCAAGAGTCACTCCCAGGTACACTGGATTTGGGCAGAAATCCAGTTGTGTGCCGTTCCATTCGGTGTTCAACTGTTTGTTTACCTCCTGGCTTTGCAGGTAGAAGATACTGATCTGCGTCTTCCTGATGTTGGTTGCTAGTATAGAACTCAGTCAGCCCAGCTAATGCTTCATACAGAGTTTCCTCTATTGTAGCAAGGTTGCTGGCTTGCATGGCGATAGAAAGGTCGTCAGCATAAGTGAAATGTTGGAATGTATGGGCTGGTCATTCTTGTAGAAGTTGAACAGGCTAGGAGGTAGGACACACCGCTGTGGTAAACTCTTCCATTGTGGTCTCCAGTGGCTGCGCTTTCCTCCTTGTTTTCCATTAGGATCTAGATCATGTGAGCGAGTTGGTGACCTTTCATCATGTTGTAGATTTTCCAGAGAAGTCTTCGTAAGTTCACTGAGTTGTATGCCACAACTTTGCCATTTTCTATGTATTTCGGGGCTTTCTTGAATTATTCCGTCGTGAATTCATGTTCGAATATGTTCTTCTCTTCTTCTTGTCATTTGAATTTTGTTCTCTGTTGCTTGTTTGGTGGTTCCCAATTCTGCGGAACTTGGTCTGTTGTAGTTCTGTTCTGCTTTCTTTACTTCATTACTTAGTTTTTATTGTGGCCCAAGCTTTCTTCTGTTGTGCATCATGTTTGTGTTTTAAATCAGCGTTTGCCATGTCTTGCATTGTTCTTCTGCGTGGCCAGCAGCAAGCTCTTCACGTGCTACAATGGTGTCCTTGGCAAATTGGTCTACTTCGTACAATTGCACGTACTCTTTATAATGTAACCAGTTGTTGCTTCAATAGTTTCCATTGAAAGATCAAGGTCCACAAATAACTCGTCCCGTTTTACCCTTTTAAAGTTGAAATAATGTCAGAATGGTATAGTCTTTGATGCTACAGCAGACTTAACTTGGATGGCTATAAATCGGTGTTGCGAGTGTAGAATCGGCCTCAGTACCATAGCCCTGCAAGATTGTCACTAACAAAAGTGAGGTCAGACTGTTAGCCTCATTTCCAGCGTCCGCTATTGAAGGAAGGTGGGACTTTTCAGTCGTGGATCAAGTTAAAATGGTTTGCCTCGTTCCGCGTTTCTATGAGATCGCCATCTTCATTTGTTTCTCTGTATCTCAGGTGACACTACGTCTGTTGAAATCTTCAATCGTTACATTGGATTTGCTGTTACTGTATGTCACCGAGTTCAAACTTTTTTGGGTGTGGTTTGTAAATGGATGTGATCATAATACGACCGATACTGACACTCAGAAGTTCTATATCATTGGTATCTGTCAATGAAATTTAATCGATTGTGATACCCCACTGTTTGTGGGATCAGAGGTCGATTGTTTGTTTGTCCTGGTGTGTGACAACTAGAGGTGTTGTGAGTCGTAGGCTCAACTCACACTTGTTTATGCAGTCGTGGGTAAAGCTCACAAGCTACCAACTTGAGGAAACATACTTAAAGAATAAAGGCTAAAAGGAATCAATTGAAAGAACATAAAACATATGATTATTCATGAACACATATATCACTGGTACATATGGCATATATTTAATTCAACAATCAAGGTATTCTTTTATTAGTTCTTCCAAAATGCTCATTACGATTTCTACTACATCAAACACCACAATTCTTAATATATCTATTGGCTTTATAACAAGATTATACTGTTAGACTAGGTAGAAATGTTTATTCAACTTACACGAAGTTTGGGCGGCGAAAGTTCTCTATTGCATATAATGCATACATACTCCCTTGGGCGTTGGTGGCACTGATCTAATGTATACATACTTCCTTGGGCGTTGGTGGCAACTGCAACTTAACTGTTGAACTGAGCTTGACTGTACAGAACAGGCTACGTAAAAACAAGTGTCACTACAGCTCCTGTTATCTATGAAACCCCAGTCTTTTATATTCGATAGACAGGATGCTGTTAATTTTCCATGTAGGACCAAAACCATAACACGTGATTCTAAACTTGGCTCAATTATTTTACGCCCCCCCCCCCAGTAGCACAGCGGTATGTCTGCGGACTTACAACGCTAGAATCCGGGTTTCGATACCCGGGGTGGGCAGAGCACAGATAGCCCATTGTGTAGCTTTGTGCTTAATTACAAACAAACAAACAATTATTTTACGTACAATACTATGACGTCTTACTAATTCTTATTGTTCTTTAATTTCTCAAACTCGGCATGCTCTTCTTATTATAGTGTCTATGATTCCCTGTCGAGTCTAAAATCAAGGGCACTTGACCTCCAACCTGCACATGTTCTTTTAGCATAACCAACCACTTTTAAGGGTTTGAGTTTCCTTTTGTGATTTTAATACTTCTTTACCTCTGAACTCTTCCATAATATTCTGTCAACTTGTAGATACAGTAATGTTTGTTTTCCAATGATATTATAACTGAATGACAGGTTTATCCTCTCTGTTGTTCCAATCTTGGAATTTTAATTTAATGAAGCATGTATTCTTGTGATCTGAGTTTCTCCATTACCTGATTTGGTTATCCAGCACACTTACTAATGCTAGTACTAGAAGTTTTCATTACTTTACTTGGTTAGCTAATGTAGGTTATACTTTTCTATATCATTCAGTTCAGTGTAATTATTGCTAACCGATTTGTACGAGAAAATAATAAAATAACTAAAACACTTGCTATCAATTGTTTTAGAATGTTTCTTGCAGACAGAAAAGTGGTGGCTCTGTTCTTGACATATCTCGGCCTTGACAGATATAACTGTCAGTGTCGTTTCTGAATAGGACCCACTTTCGTGTTGACACTGACATCTGCATCGGTTTTAGGGTGTATCGTTGGTAGTGTCGGGATGGGTGGTGGTTGCAAGACCAGCAATTATGGTGGATTATGATTCCCAGGGTCGCCACGTGGACGGTCTTGCAACAACCTTATAAAACACTTCTATGTGAAACAGTTCAGTGAATGACTTACCTGTAAAAGATCTCTTCACCCCTACTGTCACATCCCATCGTAAACTCCATCATTGTTAGCATATCTTTGCAAACGAAGGTGCTATAGCTTGGACAGACACTATCTTTTATATATTGCGAACCGTGATGTCTGTCCGAACGTTCGTCTCTCTGCCATTTGAAAAGCTGTGCACGCAGACAAAGCTCGATGTCAAATTTTATTTCGCAAGCAAGAAATTGTTAGAAATTAATCGCACTATCATTCACATTTCAAAATGTGACGAACTTAAAAAATAAAAATTTAGATTTATGTTATTGTTGAGTGGCTCTTAGTATGACTGAAATACTCCACAATTATTTTTCGCGGAGAGCGGTATAAGTAGCTCTGAGTTTTGGTTCTAAGTGAAGCCAAGAGTGCAACACAATTAACATTTTTAAAGTCCATGAAATAATTTAAATTGATAGAGTAACTTAAACTTTTCCTCACTGGGGACGGGTACTTTTGCTTTTCAGCTCATAAAACTCCATCATTGTTAACATACTTTTGAAAACTAAAGTGTTATACCTTGAATAGATATCATAAGCTCATAAAACCCCATTATTTTAACATATCTTTATATTTTAAGTTTAGGTACTATGTTGGTTTTACTTTATAACAACGTGAATAAAACAGGCTATTACCGCTGCCTTTTCTGTTGCTCATCTGATATTTTGTGCTCTAGTTTTCATACATTCACACA